TGAAGATACTTTCCTTTGTTTGCTTTGGCCCGCCTCAGCTTTCCGCGTGACCATGTCCTCAGCGGCAGCAATTGCTGAGACCCGCATCCACCCCCTCGCCTATATAAGCTCCACACCGGATAAAGGTGGAGCTGGGGCTGCATATTGCCCTAGCAAGGATGCTTATGCAGCCCTATCTATTGGGGACAACACCACACTTTCAAAACACAAAAGCAAAGCGGCCGGACTTCTGGCGGCTTTAAAATTGGCCAATACCTTTGTATCTGCTGACAGAATCCAGCGGATCTTCATTTTCATTGATAACAGTGGGGTGATTGCCAGAACCAGATATCCAGAGGCCCCCCAGCCTGGACAAAATCTTTTTGGACTGATCCAGGAAGAAGCCCAGGGCATTCCTCTGCAGGTAAAGATCACCCTGGTGTGGTGTGACATCGCCGGTAATGAAGAGGCGGACAGGCTGGTGAAGGAGGCTGTCACAGATATGGGAACTCCATTGCTGGAGAAGCTGGCAATTTCAAGAAGGCGGTAGCTAAGGCCGCTGAGGGCTTAAGGCCCAAGAGGCTGGTTGCGGTCTCAATTCCTCAAGCTCACAGCTCACTATTAAACCAATTGAATTCCGGACACTGCACCCTGAATCACTACCTTTTCTGAATCAACAGGCAAACCGATCCCTTGTGCCCTCTATGCAGCAGCAGGGATACCGTCCCCCATCTCATGAACTATTGTGAGGCGCATAGAGGTCATAGGGTGATGCTACGTAGGGCATTGCACAAGCTCACAGTTTCATTCAAACCCAACCAACTCCACCCGACTTTGAATTGCCACAGTGCGGCTGAACCATTGATTTAATATCTCAAAGCATTGACTTGATTCCCGCGGATTTTTGGCTCGTGAGGTTGGCGGCTCAGCTCTTGTAATAAAAATTTATTTCATCAATTTTGTTCTATCTTTGTTTCTCTTTCTTGTTTCCTCTGCAGTTGAGGTGCGACTAATTGAGCTTCAGATCCTCATCTGAGCGGAACAAAAGTTCTTGCCCTCGGCCAGGATCGAACTGGCGATCTCCGGATGGCCCACCGTGAAGTGTGGTCATATTACGCACCACGCGGTGCAATGATCGCGCATGTATGAGACCGGCGCTCTAACCAGCTGAGCCACGAAGGCCATTGTTAGTGATGCTTGGCCAGTTTTCCCCATTCAGAATCGTTTTCGTTGGAGTGCTAATACCAATGTTCTTTCAGATTGAGGCTGCTGCTGATCCTCACTAAGTGGCCAGGGCCCAGACCCGGGTGCTAAGATCGGAAGTGTACACAAAATCATACAAACCCTTTTCTTTAGAAACAGTAATTTCTTTCGCTGAGGAATTATCAGCGCAGTTTGATCCAGGTCGATCAGAGTAAGTGTACATACAGCCTGTGGTCAATCAGTCGTAACAAAGAGGAAACTTAGGTTTCAGTGTGTGTTTTACCTATTCTCCTACGAGTCTCGCCAGACTACATAGTAAATATATGTTATCTAACTCTCTCGCCCAAGAACTGTCCATCTTCCTCGGATGAAGATGAAGATGATGATGATGATGATGATCCAATTTAAAAGAAAGTCCCATTGTATTCTTCTACAAAGGTTTCCGGCTGCTCAGCTCCCTACAGCATTAGCTGAGTTGTTCGTCAAGTGTCTCAACAGCTTCCATGATACCGTAACCAAGTTCACAGTCTTCTTTACTCTCTGCATTCAATTAGTAGTCACCATTCCGCTGTTCTCCTCTTGCCACACAGTACAACACACTAGAAACACTCCGTCTTAGAGAGACGAGCTTCCCTTCCCCAGTAATCTCCTCGGAAACTAACGATCAATTACCAACTATGTCGCATTCTACAGCCCTTCCTCAATACCACCTTCCGTCGCCCCCAAATCACCGTGACCGGCAGCTCGAAACCCTGCTGGAGATCAAACATGATGACATGGCCCAGGGCTTCTGCCCCAAGACCTTAAGACTCTCCCACAGTTTCCCCTCCACCGGTCATCTGCGTCATCCATCAAGCACGCTTTCCGTCACTAGATGGAAGGAAGGCCTTGCACAAGCTACTTCCTCTCACGAGGACGAGCTTCTTCCCACACATGACCACCAGTCTAAAAATATTATGACATCACTCACTTTCAGGCCTTCCTCCCAAAGACTCAGAACAAGAAGCCTCGATCGCAAATCCAACCCAGTTCTCAACCTGCCTCCCGCTAATCTGGCTCCTCACAAAAAGTCTTACATCAGGCGCAAGGCCTCCTCGTCCCACAACAGTCTCTCCGATCCTTCCTCACTCCCTAATGACTCTTCTGCCCAAGTAAGCTCTCCTTTTTGGATGAGGGAAAACATTCATTGATCTTGCAAATCAGCTTATCACTTTGTTGTGTTGCTGTGTAGCGTCATTCGCTCGGCTTTCACTCCCATATCCCCATCGAGCGTACGGTACTCAGCGTACTTCCTTCGAGCAGGAGGCCCTCGATTGACTGGAGTACACCCGCTCCACCGGAGGCGAATGCTGCCACATTTGAAAGCAGTCCGTCTGCGACCAGTTCGGGCAGCCCCAAAACCACCTTAGCCACCTCAGTGGACTCGAGTGGAACACCTCCACGTCCACGATACCAACCACGGCCGTTACTACTATCGGCCTTTGGGGCGAACAACAAGAACCGGACAAGCATCGGTCCATCCACATATCCTTATCAGGCACGCGACAGCCCGGTCACGAGGGAGCAGCAAGAACTTGCCAAGACTCGATGGCTGGCCGAGGTACAACGCGACAAAGTGCAGCAACTACGACAAGAACGGCTGCATAACCGGGAGGCCAAGAAGCTACGCAAGCAGGCGCGGGAGGCGGAGCTGGTTGCCCTGAGCTCGTCGGTGAGATGCGAGGGCACCACTTCCGCGGTGGTTCCGGAGGCCGACGAGGACAACTGGAGCTGGCTGAGCTGCAGCGATGCCGCTGAGGAGGAGGAGTCTGCGGACGACCAGGAGGCCGAAGAGATGGCCGTGGTTTGGCGCGCCAGTCTCGATGTTGGCCGAAGGGTCTCCAAGAGCCGCAAGGCTCTCGGTCGCGGCCACGGTATTCCCCTCCCACCTTCCAGACTCACCACCACCAACCCGCGTCCCCCACAGTGCTCGCTGCCCGTCTCCTCCCTCTCGCCACTGAAACTCTTCCGGATGCTGCTCTTCTCCCAAAAGCGTGACTCAATCGTGCCTCCAAAACTCGTCGCCCCTTTCCTCTTCAGCTCGGGCATGCTCAGCGGACTGGCCTGTAGCCTCCTCTTCTCCTCCTCCTTCAATCTCTCCTCCCTCCTTTCCCATGGCCATCTGCTCCCCATTTCTACCTCCGGCATCGCCTTCTTCTTTAACCTCGTCCTCCCTAGCCCCCTTTCCTCCTTTGGCTCCATCGCGACCAGTATCGGCCTCTCCGCCCACTGGTGTATGTCTCATCTTGTCCGTCTTGTGTTTCTCATCCATGCTGATCGCTGATTTATATTCCTTTATTGAAACAGGATTCTTCTATTTGACTTGCCTCTGTAACACCTCTTCTCAACCACCTCGTTACAGTTGCCCTGGTTTTTTTTTCCCATTCTGCTTCATTCGTTCTATTCTCTGGTCGTTCTTTGATCTCCCCCCAAACAAAAACTGAAAACAAATCTAGCTTCTAATAGTCATCGTGACAATTCTCCTTCATCCTTTTATCCCCGCTCCTTTCTTTACCCATTCTTATCCTGGCTTAATGAATTTTATCGTTTTATTCAGATCTCTCTGCATGTTTCTTATCTTTGTCCTTGGTTTGATTGACTCTCAACAAGATAATTCCAAAACAAAAACAAAACGAACAAAAGAAGCATAAATCTGCATTATTTTTTATCTGCATCCAAATTTATTGCGCAAGTTATGTTGGTTGTGTTGTTATGTACAAACAGTGCCTTTTCCCTTTCAATCGTTCTTCTGCTTTTTTTATTATTATTCAAATCAATGAAATAAAAGAACAAACAATTCATCATCAAGTAATAACAAAAGGTTGAGAAGTTGATTTCGCAGTCAGACTGAACAGCCGATGAGGATTGATTAGATAGTCGGGGTTTCACAGATGGCTGTCCCCAATCTGTGACATTCCAGCTGTTGACCGTGACAAGGAATTCCTTTCCAAGAAATTAATTATTTTTATTTACTCAAAATGACTTTCTCCCTCTCAGAACAACTGCAAGACTCATACGCACTACTCTGGGCATCGCTCAACCAAGAATACCACAAGGTAAAACAAGCATCCACCATTCACGAGAACGACACCCGCGTACTGCTCGACAGACTCAGATCCATCAAGAACTATCTCGTCGGAAGCAAGGCTCGCAAATCTTTCACTACTTCCGACCCTTCCATCTCAAAAGATCTATCCTTGTCAGTCCCCTTCATCTCAATGGAAAAACAAAAAAGACTCATCTAAGTTTATGTGTATTAGATTGGCGTTCATCCTGGATTGGGACTGTCTGGGTCCATGCATCATCAAACTCAAAATTGAAGCTGCTGCAATCCTGGGTCTTTTATCCATTTGTATGTCATCAACATAAAACACCCTTCTCAACGATTTGACCATCCACTGAATCTATGTCCTTTCTTTTAATAGCTGAAGACCATGCAGTTGATGTCCTCCTTCAAGCCCGTCTCCCCGCAGTCATCCTCGATTCAATCACTCGCCTCTTGACAGAAGTCCCAATCCAATCACTTTTATCCTCTCAAAGCCCACAAAGAAATGGTCAACACCATCTCCTCCAAACCTTACTTCGTACTCTCTCGTCACTCTATAGCATCATACAGGATGTCTCTAGTCCTAGGAAATGGGGGTTCATGACCAAGTCCCCGGAACGCGTCCATCTCCCTCAACCTCAACGATCGACACCCAGAAACAGTCATCCATCATCCATCGAGTTTCACCTTCAAGAAACCAAACTGGATCCGAAAGGGAAAGCAAAGGCTCCAGTAGATTTGGGCCAGAAAACCCACGCCAATCTCTCATCGAAAATTCAAGTAGATGAACCAGCTCACACATTCGATTATTGGCCCACTTCTAAGCCCAGCAAGCTGAAAGAAGACTGTGAAGAAGCCAAGACACTGCTAGCCGAGTACATCGTCCACAGAAAGACTTTGGTCCCCTTCATACTGACAATCAGCAAACGCTCTCTGCCCGATGGCTCACGAATCAATCTGTCATCCGTCTCAATCGCCGACCTTGTCGTCCCTTGTTTCCAGTTGATTTGGCTGTTATGTAAGGATCCGAAACGACAAGTTTGGCTGGTCAGGGAGCTCATAGAAGCAGAAGACCCCCATGGCCACGAAGAAAGCTGCTTGAAAGCGCTGACCAACTGTCTTGGGGCGTGGTTACATTCTCATCATGATCTGGCCACTGAATACGCTATCCGAACCGTCGGTGCCTTGTTGTCCATCGATGAACCTCCTCATGACTCTCAGGATTACGAACCTCTCGAGTATCTCGATCAGCTCGTTTGGACTCAACCTGCGGATCCAGCTCCATCCTCTTATTATTCCAATCCCAATAACCCCACGGATTCTCCCCTGGAGGCCGTTGGAATCGGTTGGGTTTTGACCCGCAGGTCTCGGAGAGGCAGTCCTATCCTACGAGCTGCTTTGGCAACTAGGTCGGCATTATTTGACTTGCCCTCCTGATGTCCTCCTTTCACGCTTCTCTTTTTCCATTTGAATTGTTTCGCAAAAAATTAATCCTTTTTTGTTCTCTTAATTTTCAGTATTAATAGCTTGGTTGAACATTTTCCTGACATTCGCCTGAGGATATTGCTCTCACAAATCAACCATACGATTGAACTGATCGACAACACCTCGTACCCAATTGTTGTCAGGTGCGAAGCGGCCTATGCCCTTGGTCAGTAATGCAGCCACCCTTTGTTCATTCAGAAAGAACAAAAATGTACTTACTCCGGATGCTTTCTCCAATCATCCAGCTCATTCTCTCACAATCTCAGAAAACCTACATTATCCGGCCTATGAAGCCAACGCCATCCCCATCTTGAAGAAGTTGGTCGACCAAGCTTCCGTAGATCCTATTCCATATCCCACACCTGCATTTGTTACTCAGAGTGCAATGCTGAGAGAAGTTGAGTCTCAA